CACAGACTTGGGTTCCCCTTTTGACGTCTCCTCTCAGCGGTGACACGAGGCTTTTTGCCTGGGACATTTTTGCCTGTGGCATTAACACGCACTGGAGCAGCGGAGGCGTCTTCTGTAACGTGAAGACGAAGAAGAATGAACGAAATGACATCAAAACAGTGAAGCTGTGGCCAGAGGCAGAATGTGGGCCTCCAGGAATCCCTCGGGCCATCGCCCTCAGCAACTGCCCAATTCTCATAATTCTATTTTCCAAATCGGGGGGATCTTTCTAATACTTATTACTATACCGTTCTTATTCTGCAGACCTAGCCGCCACCATCGCCGAGTGACCAAACAGCGAAGGTGAGTGGTGCCCGGGCTCACCACTGACAACACGAGAGCTCAACCGTCACCACGGCACGGTGCAGGTGCCTCCCCGGGCCAACTGTGTCCTCATAAATAAGGGTAACTGAGAAGAAAGGCAGGGGGTGATGGTAGAACACCACCTGGCCTGCCTGCGTAACACCCACTAAGCCGGCCCCTGTGCCCTGCCCGTGGGCCCGTGATGCACTCAGAGTGTTTCGGGTCAGTCCTGCCCTGCTGGAGAGCGCAGCCAGCCTCCAGCCGGCCTGGACAGTGAGAATGACTAGCCGTGGCCTGAGAGGGGAAAACTGACGGCACCAGGGCTGGAACAAAGGAAGTGCGTCCGTGGCCTGCTGCTCCGTCAAGAAACTCAAGGCCGGGATCTCAGCAGCGGTGGTTCCTTAACCGCTAACCTTTCCCTCCTCCTCTCCCTGCTGCTGACTCTCCTGGGCCCCTGTGGGAGGCGGACTCCGGCAGAGGTGAGCACTGAGCCGCGGGCACTATTCGATGCCCCGTCGAATGACTCCGGGACGTGTGTGTAAGGGCAGGAGGAGGCAGGGAAGGGCAAAAGGAGGACTGGGGGGCGTGGGCGCCCCAAAGCTGGAGCGCGAGAAGGCTCTGAACTGAAAACACACAGTCACGTCTCCCCAGTTGGTTTTCCCTTGGGTTCACCTCCTGAGTTCGGGCTGGAAATGGGGAAGGAGAGAGACGGGCCCGGAGTGACTGGTGAAGCGTGAGAAAACGGGAGAGGGGAGACAGGCAGTGGGCAATGAAGCCGCCAAGAGAAGGGACATTGAATGTGCTTCAGTGCAGGTCAGACTCATCCTCAGGGCCTCCCTCCCTCCGGGCCCATGTTTACCGTGTGAATAATTCCAGTGCGGTGCCTCCTGAGTCTCCCACGAGGACGTGGAGGGGGCGTGTACAGCATTTTCCTTTTGCACGGACTGCCTTTCACATGGTTTCTCTTAGTAAGTGATATGGGTGGCTTTTTTTTCTTTACGGAGTTTTCACCTCTCTTTCTCTCTGAAAAAAGTTGAATGATGTATGTTAAAGATACTTAAATAGTAAGAAAACATGATTTACAAAATAAGGCATTGGGGGGGTCATTTGAGATTATCATTCACAAGTGATACATATCTGTTTCTACATGTTACTGATCTTTCTAGCTTTTGTCAGTATGAAAATCTGTTTGATGCCTTAAAAGCTTTAACTGCCAATAGCGGGGGGCGGGAGACGGCGGGCTGAATTAGGGCAGGTGTGTCTGGCAAAGGCCTAAGGTGTGTCTCTATTTGGGAGACGGGCCCCAGCCAAGGTATGTTAGAGGCTAAGGATCATTATCATAGCCGGGTGGTGCTGAATTCTACTTAACTCCTCTCAGCCATTGGGTGGGTAGGAAGTAGAAGAGAAGACAGGACGAGATTTCTAAATGGTAGGTGTGAACGAGTGAAAATCATTTCTTTCCAATAAGGAGCTTGTTTCCCCAATCGGCTCGTGGGTATTTTTAAAGCCATGCTAAATGAATCCGCTCTCTCACTAGTATTTTGTCGCACATGGGCTCGGGGAGAGGATGGAAGATCTCCAGAAGAGTTCTAAACATCAATTGGATTTAATTGCTCAAAGAGTTACTGGTGCTTTCTTTAATCAGAATGGAAATAAGGACAAGCTGAGATCTTATGGACACGTGGTACTTAAGGGAGAAAACTAAGGGTGTGTCTCCAGGTCGCCGCCGGTGGGCAGAGGGAAAGGCGGGCCAGAGCCGTGGGGCTTGCTAGTGTGCAATTTTCTCTCCTCCTCATTGCTACGGCTCTACGGGGTGCCCTCCCCATAGGCCTTCTGGCCTATGTTGCAAAGCTCTTCGGCTGACATGGATGACAACAGTATCAACAGAGAATTAAAGCAGAAATTAAACTTTTCCTGTTGTGAAGAAGGGAATGAGGACGAGGAGCGGAAGGAAGCGCGAGGGAGCGGGGAGGCCCAGCGCCAAACCCCGGAGAGGTCTGAAGTTAAGGAGTCGGAGGCAAAGTCTACCCCGCCCAGGACACCCCTTAGGAATGCACGTGAACTTGACACATCTCAGGAAAAAGACGGAGCGAATCCGGATCCTGGTTGGAGGACTCCGGGGTGCGAGTCTCCCCAGTGTCCTAAAACTCCAGCCCGGCCAGACGACAGAAGCAAGCTGCTACAGGGCGAGAGTCCCTTCACCCCCAAAGTAAGTAAGTTGTCGGGGAGAGGGTCCCAGGTTCCTTCTTCAGTTCAGGTGACAGAAAGAGGAATCAGTTATTTATGTGTTTTTGATAGATTTGCCCCCCCCCCCCCAGGTGTATTATCCCCAAATACATATCTATTGGTGAAAATTAAGAAGTTGAAAGTTACCAGAAAACAATCGAATGTCTGGCCAGCTGTCTTCTCAAAACCACTGGTGCCAGCAACGATTTGGTAGAAAAATAAATCTTGGGTTGGGGAAAAATTCCTAAAGAACACTGGAACTGGAAGGAATATTGAGATCTAGGGCCCAATTCGTGCACCCTAAACATCAGGACCTTGAGTAGAAAACTGGCCTTTAACTCAGCCAGTGGCAGAGAGAAGCTGAGAAACCTGGTCTTTGGGTCTCAGTCTGTTCTTTCCATTATGCCGACCGGTCGTATTATTATGTGATTATTTACTATTTCCTAATATAAGAGTGTCCACATTCCCTGTCTGAACATCTTCATGTCTTTGCTGCTGCTCTTCCTGGAAGTCCTCATTCCTCTGTGGCCTCGTGAAGTGCAGGCTCCTCTGTGATCTGTGAGCAAAGAGGTAGCTAGTTGATACTTCTGTGTCAGCTGAGGACTGCACAGAAGCCAAGGCCCCGAATAGTTAGCACGTTCCTTCATTCTTGTTGCGACTGGTCTCCTTCCACATCTTCCACATTAAAGCCAGGGCTGGGGCAGGCTTACCTCTACTAGACGGGTACCATGGGGTGTGAGCCTCAGGACTGGTCCCGGGTCTGCTCCCTGCCGGCTCAGCTTGCGCATTTATGATCATCGTCATAACATCTGTGCTTCTGACTGCGGTACAGTCACTGTCAGCTGGTCTCTTTAGTACCTTGAGTATGGGCACCACGTCCACCAGGAAATACTAAGCTTCTCGTCTGAATTGTAGACAAACTACTTTAATATGCTCATGTGTCCATCCATGGATTTTTCGATGGTCCCACCCAACACCAACCAATCAATCATCCACTGATTTTTCCGAAAGTCGGAATGTTTTTGATGTGTGGAAATTAGGCAGAGTGGGCTGAGAGAACGTGGCTCTGAGCAAGAGTCCATAGGCAAGAAAACAGGACGTGGTGTGTATATTCCATCCATTCATTTAAAACTTAGCCGAACACCGTGGCATGCCAGCAGACTTTCTGCTGTCACACCCATTTACGGCCTCCAAAAGGTGCCCACAAAATAAAGTTAAAAACGCAACTGGAACGATAATTAAAGTTCTGATCAGGTATGCTAGAGCAGCGGCATGACACGATGAGAAAGGATTAGGAATGGAGTCTCAGGAGGTGAGAGAAACCTTTCCAAAGAGAGTACCGTTTGAGAGAAGTCTTAAAAGGTGAGTTGTAGCTCGCCAGGCAAAGAAGGAGGGGTAAGAACTCGAGGCCAAGGGCAAAGCCTCTACCAAGCCGTGGAGCCGAGAGGGCGTGCTGCCTCTGGACGCCGGTGTGTTATTCACCGTGACATGTCTGTATGTGATGGAGGGCAAGCAGCGAGGCCTGAGGGTAGGCAGGAGCAAGGTCAAGGTTTTAGCCTGAAGCGTTGAGAGAACTGGTTTTGAGCAGAAGCATTTTCGAAAAACCATGACCTTCCTATGAAGGACGGAATGGAGCAGGAGAGCGCCTAGAGGCAGAACGGTATTCACAGCAGATCTGTGGAGAAAGGAGAAGGGCCTGAGCTCAGACAGTGGCGGGCAGCGAGAAACAGATGTTTAGGCATCCATAAGTGACTTGATGGAGGGGGTGAGGGAAAAGATCTAGGGTGCAGCCAGGCTTGAGTGGATGACTCATGGAATCCAGATAGGTGGCAGTCAAGGATGTACAGGTTTGTCGAAAGCAGAGACGTCACGTAAATAACAGGATAAATGGGTCCGGAGTGCAGGAAAGCAGTCTAAGTTGGAGGTCTATACGTGGACATCATCGGCATACAGGAAGCTATTGAAGTCCTGGACGTGGGTAAGTCCACGCAGCCTGAGCGCCGGCGTGAGAGCAGAAATGGTTCGGGTTAGGAATCTGGGGAAAATGCCAGGATTTGAGGGACAGGCAGAGAACAGAGTTTGGGAGGGAAACTGGAAATGCAGCTGGGAAAGTACATACTTTATGTAGTTCGGATCCGGTCAGAGGAGAGAGGCCAGGGCAGTCACAACTGGAGAGGTTATGACACAGACAGGGACGCCCAGGTAAGGAGCATTGGTTTAGTTCAGCCTCGCCCAAGGGACGGGACCGGAAATCACGTGATGTGACCTCAGCTCGCCACCAGGACTCCGGAGCAGGAGTAGTGAGAGAAGAACTTCCTTAGGAGGCAGCCAGGTCCCTGTGGCCCAGCGACCACTTGGGAGACATGCAGAAGGGATTCAAGCATCAGGGGATTAACTGGGCCTTTCAAGTTTTCCCCAGTCCCACAGCCCTGTGACACTGTGCCTTCGTGTGAGGCTGCCACTGTCTCAGCTTCTTCAGAAGTCAAGGAGCTCGTCCTCAAATTCCCGTTTTTTCCCCCTTAATCATCTGTAACAGAGCCGTTACTTATAAAATTAGCTACACTCTCTGGGGCATATTTACTCTCAACCTGGTCATCTTTCTAGAAAATTTCGATCTGCTATCTTTTTGTGAAATTCCTTTCGTAAATCTTATCCCAAACTATATTCTTTTGTTTCAAAGGGATTATTCATAATTTTGCCATTCTGGCAATAAAATCCATGTTAATATAACTAATATCTT